AGCGGTTAAGGCTGGCAAGGCTGGGGTTAGAACCCAGAAACTCAATAATCAGTCAATCAATCAATCAATCAATCAACCAAACCACCAGAAAAGACTACCTCAGAGCCATCAGAAGGGTTGGACCAGAAAACCCAGGCTACACCCACTGTGGAGGAAGCTGTGGGGTGGGGCACCTCTTCCCCTGGGGAATCGCTGTCTGGCCAAAGGTGCTACACACAGCTATAGACGGGTGCAAGTGGGCTCCAACATCATTCGCGTCAACCCTAAGCCTCAAGGGCGCAAGTCGGACCCTGTCTAGCTTCCTGGAGGAGCACGAAGGAGTAGAGACGCCCTTGCTTAACAACAGCTCAGCAGCACTCTCCAAGGGCACCCTGTGCAGACCCGGTGGATCAGTGGGCTCCCTCTCAGGGCCTGCTGAGCTTGTGGGCCACTGCTCTAATTGCATGGAAGACACCTAGAGGGGCTGGGGTGCAGCTTAGTGGGGTGGGTGCGTTGGTATTCAGTTCCGCTGGGGCTCCAGCCCAACACTATCAAAAAATAAAAACAAAGATCTGTTGGGAAGATGGACAGTTGCTTGTATATACATAGAAAATTAAACAAATAGAAAACATGGAACTTTTTTTTAAGGGAAAACCCAAGTTGTGTAGGAAAGGAAGGAGTGAGCCATGCACGGCCTTGCCGCACTACGAGCTACACCCGCGTGGTGGCCCTGGCGCGGGCACAGGCACAAAGAACCTAACGGGGAGTGGCTGCAGTGCAAGACTCCAGAAAGCACAGGGGCACATGACTCGGAAAGTGGGTGCAACCCCCAGAAACAACCAACAGGGCCCTCAGAGCAGAACAAGGGTGGGGTGAGCAGGAGAGGTTGTTGCTGTGCTGTGTGTGTGCAGGGTCTCGTAGTGATCCTCCTGATTTCTGCCTCCCTAGCGCTGGGATTACAGGGGTGCGCCACCACGCCCAGACTCCATTCACCGGCTCAACATGCCCGGGGGTGGGGCCCGTGCAGCATGCGGAGCCAGGAATTGAACCCTGGCCCCTACGCTTACCTAAGCAAGCGCTTAGTCTGCTGAGCTACACCGCTGGCCCTTGCTGTGCTGATGAAGGTCCTCTTACCACTTGTATGCTCAATTCCCTGTGTGGCCACAGTGGAAATGACAGATCTAAGCACACTGTGTTGGGGGACCAGGCCTCACAGTGGGAGAGGTGGGTCAGAGTCCAGGATGCACTTCCTGCTCCAGGGATCCAGAGCTGGATGGAGGATACCTGTGGTGGATGGCTAATTGGTGATCAGCTTATACTCAGCTGAATTAAACTAGCGTGGTGCTGGGGGGAGGGGGCCCACCTGAGGGCTGTTGCCAGCAACACAAAAGGCAGAACAGGAGAAGCTGCCCAAATGCTGTTAGGGATGTTATCTGGAGAAGCCATTGGAGCTGTTGGAGGTTGCTATTTCTCTTGGGCTGTTTGGCTGGAGGACGGTGTCATGCTGGCTTTCCTGATGAAACTGGCTGTTCTCAAAAGAGGAGGAGCTCAGGACCTCCTTGTAGTTCAGGATGGCTGTGGTTCACTTTTGGGGAGCTCTGGTCCTCACTTTGAGCATCACTTCCTGGCTTGGGAGGCGAAGCTGGTGCACTGCTCAGCCTCATGAAACTTGCTGCATTGGCTTTCCTGATGGGAGCTCAGCTTTCCTCATCACTGGAGGAGTTTGGAACTTCACTGTCACTGAGGATGGCTGTGGTAACTTTGGGGGAGCTCTGGTGCTTACACTGAGCATCGCTTCCTAGCTCTAGTTCAGATCCCTCAGCCTGCTGGCACAGATCCTTCATCCTTTGTAGCTTCCACCACCGGCCTTTGGGCCTTCCCAACACAGATCCATGAAGCAGACCTGCATGTAACTTTATTGTGGGCTCTAGGCCACCAGCTGAACTCATGGGAGGCATTGTTATGAGCTCTAGGTTTCCAGCTGGACTCACGCAGGATATTAGGATCTAGGCCCTCAGCTGGATTCTTTAGTATTCAGTGTGTGGATAGATTTCCTGCATTTGTTGTATGTGATTCTTGGTGACTCATTATAAAATATTATAAAATGTGTCCTGCACTATATTGTTCACCTTGCAAAAGAACCCCAAACCACAACAGCACCCATATTTAAACACCCCACCATAGGGAGCATGGGCCACCCAGCCACGGGTGGGAGAAGCAAGCCAGAAGACTGCCAACTTGGCGGGGCAGGGAGAGGGACAGGGGTCCCTACAGATGGAGGCAGGGGCTTTGCAGCTGGTGGAAAACCGCATGTGCTTTGAGATCAACATGCACAGCCCTGGGCCTGGTCAGGTGAGGGATAGCACAACGGGTGTCAGAACAAAAGTCCCCATCCTCAAGGCTACCATCTGCAAGGGTGCATGGCCACCTGCAGAGGGAGATGCTCGTCCTGGCTTTGTGTCCTCACCCTGTCCTAAGACTCGGCTGTAGGCACAGAGGTGAGCTTCACTGTGAAGCAAGCGGAGGTCAAGGGCCTTCTCCCCTGCACAGGCAAGAGCATTTGGGATGCTCACTCCAGCACCTGTACTATGTGCGCAGCGAGCCCTTGCAGCTGTCAGGTCCACCTGCCTCTTACCTGTACCCCTGCCTCCTCAGACGTGGGCGCTGGTTTGGCTAAAGGAAAGCTGAACTGACCTGGGGCTCGATGGCCCTGACTGTGGGGTTTGAGGTCGCATCTGCCTGCCAACCTGCGAAGGAGTGGCCTGCACTGATGCTCCTGGTGCACCAACACTGCATGAGTGTACAGGAGGGGTGGCGAGCATGTGCGACTCGGCGACTACACAGGTCTCCCCAAGAAATGAGCCCTTGGCTGCATGCAGCGGGCAGCCAATCTCTGAGGAATTCTTATAATTAATGTATAAGATACATTAATATATAATAGAAAATCAGTTGCTCTCAATTTGATGGCAACCCTAAAAATTTCGTAGTTAACAATTCCTAGTCATTGGCAAGATGGTGGTGCCCGGGCTGTTGCACTCTTTGTCACGGCTGCTGGTTCTGGCTGGACCAGTGCAGTCCTTCACCACACTCAAAGGTCTATGTGCGGTCCCCACAGAATGACAAACCAGACTGAGTGAAAGTTGGGCTGACCTTGGGCACCACTGCCTTCCTTTGATTCTCTCATCAAACAACATAATGAAGATGTTTCAGAATATAAAAGAAATGGGTTGGAATGAGCTTTGGAGCACATTACTCACATAGTGTGTTCCTCATACAGTTATAACAGATGCTCTGGCGTTTCCAACCTGTTGGCTTGTGACTGGGAGAACAGTTATATGTAAATGTGTATCAAGACAGCCTTTGTGTTTTGCTTCATGAAAGAAGTAAAAATATGTATGTATCAAAAAACCAAAACAATTCCTAGTAACAATTTTCCTAAACTGGTGCTAATAAATTGCAATCAGGCATGCTGGGGGACTAAATTTACCTTTCTATTCCTTCCCTAACAACTGGAAAAGAGCTTGGGGTGTAGCTCAATGGTACAGCACACTCCCAAAAAACCTGAAGCTCTGGATTCCAACCTTTATGCCCCAAAACCAAAACAATGTAAAAAAACCATTGTCATTCAAAGATGCAAAAGGGTACAAAGTCTCTAAAAGACAAAATGTGTATTAAGATTAAACAATAATTGTTTCTTTTATGTTTTGTAATATTTGCAATTTTCATTAGCATTTTAAAATGTATGGAGCAGGCCGGGTATATAGCTCAGCAGCATCAGTGCCTGCCTGGCAAATGCAAGGTCCTGTGTTCAATCCCAGGACAAAAAAAAAAAAAAAAAAAAGACAGCAGTGACTTTTTATGCTAAATGAGTGACCTTTATATCTGTTTTTGATATGTAATTTTGTGTTTTCTTAGACAGGGCCCCTAAATTGTCTATGCTTTTGGCCCCAAGAAGCCTGGAAGCAGGAATCACTAACACTGTGACTCAGGATGCAAATGCCCACACCATTAATACTGTTATTTGTACTGGAGGTGTGCAAGGCTGTGGCCGCTAGCCTGGGAGGAGACTTCTGAAAGGTGGGTGGCTGGGACCAGAGGTGGGGATGACTACAGGGAACTGCAGGATCGGGTGGGAGCACTAAAGAGGAAGGAAGGGGAGAACAGAGTGGCATCTCGCAGGAGGGGCAGTAGGGTGGTGGGAGATGGCCTGGGTGCTCGCACTGGGTCCAGTGTCCGAGGGACCAGGGCACAAACACTGATCTTTTGGGAGGCCTCACCTTTGAACACTGGATCTCAACGCTCCACCTCAGGAGCGACTTTGGAAGCCTGGCTCCAGTGTCAGGTATGCCCTCAGGCAGGCATCTGGTGAAAGTCACCACTCCTGCCTTTCCTCCTAGATGGGCTGTCTTTTCCTGGCAGCTCTGTGATCACTCCACAAGCACCATTTAGCTGAGCAGATCCTTGTGCACAGGTGGCAGCCACTTTGGGTGGCCTCTGTCCCAGTCACCAATGCCTGGGTCCCTTACTCAGCCACCATCTGGTAAGATGCTCAAAAGGAGCAGAGTCCAGGCTTTCTGACCAGACTCCTAATGGGGGATCTTTATTTCACACGCGTCTTTAAAAAAGCTCTGCTATTATTCCAGAGCTGAAAAGTCACCCGGGACCCTTCCCACTCCCGAGACCCTGGAGAGCTGCGCTGTGGCTCGGCAGGCGGTGCCAGCGCAGCACGTGCTCAGTGAAAACTTAGAGATTCAAGCTGTTTCTTCCAGGTTGTGAATGCGAAGAGCACAGACCCAGAACCTGACCCTGCGGGGCTCCACCAGGCAGCAACGGGCCCGGGCGGCCTGGGGGTGCGGGCTGCACCCCTGGGAGCTCTCCCGGAGCCCCGGCCTCCGGGAAGAGCCCGGGTGGCACCTGCACTTGGAGCGTCCCAACAGCTCTCTGGGACCTCTGAGCCAAGGAAACGCTGCCCGCCCGCGCAGACCCGAGGGAGCGCAGGCCGCCCGGGGCCACCCGCTCACCTGTCCAGCGCGCCGGGCCAGCTGCACCGCCGCCTCAAAGCACTCGTCCCACGGGCTCCCCGGCTCCTGGTCGCCCGCCTTCATCACGGCCGCCAGCGTGTTCCTCACGCAGCTGTCACCCTCATACACCGCGGTCCTCCCACGCCGCTGCGCTCCTCGCACGCCGCTGTTGCCCTCCGGAGCTCGCGCTCTTAACGCCACCCGCAGGAAGCGCGCGGAAGCCCCGCCCCGCCCCCGCCCCGCCCCCTGGCCGTGCGCCAATGGGTGGCCCCGCTTCTCGACACTCCCATTACAGGCCCCGCCCCCGAACCTTTCCTGAACACCAATTGGCGCCGAGCTTTGTCTTCCACACCCTCCGTGGGAAACCCTGTCCCCACCGGCCTCCGGGCCTTGGCCCCGCCCACCTCGGGGTCCCGCCCTTCTCGTGCCAACTCCTCAGGGGAAAACTGGGGTACCTGGTGTGGAACATTGGTTGGGACCGGGTTAGGGGATCCGTTGGCGGGGTCCTGGGAGAGTCTCCATTGGTGGAGCCCTAGAGAACACAAGGCGCCCCGGATGTGGACAGCGCCCTGACAAGGTGAGGGTTGGTGGGATGGCTGCTGGGGTGAGGGGAGAACACTGGTGGCAGGCTCTGGGATCACGAACAGTTCAGACTCAAGACTCAGACTTGGAGGGGATCCAGGAGCGTACTCTGACTTTCAGTCACAAGGCCCTGGCGGGGTACTGCAGGTGTGCTGCCTTGCTGACCACAGGGCCTGAGCCAGCTCCTCCTGGGCATGCCCCCGCCTTCCCTTTGTTACTGAGGACTGAACCAAGGGTCTGCCCAAAGCTACACCCTCGTCCTTTTCACTTTTTATTTTAAGGCAGGATCTTGATAATGTACCCAGGCTAGTCTCAGACTTGGTCATCCTCCTGCCTCAGCCTCCCAAAGGGCTGAGAGCTCAGGTATACACTCCCAGACAAGCTACTACCTAGCTTCTTAGGAAAATCGTAGACCCTCACCAATGTGTTCTGCAGTGCTGCTTGCAGGTCTCGGAGGACAGCTGGAGTCTGCGTAAAAAGAGACCTGCTTTCCGGGCCACTTGCTGCAGGGGCCTGGTAATGATTGTAGTTTTGGTGAGTGTTTGTGTTGACATACCTCATGGAGAGAGACTAGATGTCCTTGAGACAAGGATTACTCGGGGTGGGAGGCATTAAGAAAACAGGTGGTCCTCCCTCTGCAGCCTGCCCCTCCCCAGGCTCGGAGAAGGAAGCCAGGCCCACCTTGGCTCTGCTGGGTTCTTCACGTGTTCAGAGCAGAGATCACGAGCTGGGCTTTTGAAACACTAGGATCCTCTGAATGGTTCCCCCTGAAGTGAAATCTGTTCTGTGTTTGATCCCAGTGTCAGTTTCATTAGAGATCCAAGTGAGGAGGGCACGGACTCCCTCTGGCCCTCTGCCTGGACTATGAGCATGCCTAGCTGCTTTCTGTCTTTACCCTTTATTACAGGTCTTAGCCTACCTGAACATCTGCCGAAGAGCACCTTAATGACTTCCTTGTCTAACTGACAAATATCAGGGAGCAGTGTTCTGTGGGGTTTTTTGGTTTCTGGCTTAAAGCTTGCAACCAGCCTGATTTTCCAAAGTTACAGTGCCAGTCTCATTTCGTCCTCACTGTGTCTTGGTTATAAATCACCTTTCCTACTGCCTTCCTTCAACTATTCACAGCCTTTGTAACTGTGCCCAGGTTTGTATGCCCTGCAGCACAGCTGTGGGTGGTTGATGGGGCAGCAGACCTTGGCCTGCAGTCAGCACCTGGTGCGTTTCTGTTAATTACCAGCTACTGGAATCAGCTTTTCCTCACCGATGACACAAACCTCTCATGGCCCAGAGGATGCTTCTGGTTGGCCCAGCCCATCCACTTGATGGGCTCCTTGATCACAGAGCTGCATGTGAAATGCAGAGGGGAGGTCAGAGAAGCCCGGAGTTGGTGGAAAGAGCGTGGGCAGCTTCAGATGGCCACTGCATCCGTGCTGCTCTGGAGTCTTCTCCCTGGTCCTTTCTATGGCAAAGTCAAAGCTATAAAGAGGCAGACCGACTGGCGAAGTGTTCTCCCCACTGGGCCCAGGTCTAGACTCACCCGTGACCCTGTTCTTATTCTCCGGACAAGCTACGAGAGCTTGGGCACCAGACATGCTTGCAATGTGCTTCATCTCGACAGACTTCCCGAGGTGCCCTGAGAATGCCTGGCCATCTTTCACCTCAGTGCAGAAAATGCTGTGTGGGCAGGGGTCTCCCCTTCTGCCAAGTCCTAGCATGACCTATGGGAGAGGAACCTTTAAAGAGCTAATCTGTTCAACTGGGTGCTGAGGGTGGGTCCTGATTCAGAGAGACAGGCATCCTTGTGGGGATTTGGATGCAGAGAAAGCTCTGGGGAAAAGGCCATGTCAGGGCACAGTGAGAAGATGGCTGTGTGCAGGTGCAGGAGAGAGGCCTCAGGAGAAGCCAGCCCTGTTCACGTCGTGATCAGCTCTGAGCATAGGCCTCTGAGTGTTGGGCAGCCAGACCTCAGTCCAGGATAAGACCTCAGGATCAGGCGCCAAGATGGTGGGCCTTTCAGGAAAGCCTGTGGGTGGGGTGCTGACAGGCCATCGGGCCTGGGAGGTTTGCTCTGTGCACGCAACAGGCTGCTCAGAGCTCTTCCCAGCCAGGGGACCAGCGCGTGGGGCTCCTGCCGTGTAGGAGCGCAGTGCCAAGCTGGCTCCAGTGCCCACCGTCGGGCCCACGTACTCAAGGTCACTTGGGCACCATACATGTTGGCTAGGGTGAGCCAGGCAGGAGGCGACCAGCACCAGCGCTGCATGCGCCCTGCCTGCTCCTGAGGAAGACCCCGTAACAAGACCAATTCCAAGAGTCCCAGCAGTATGTTCCAGCAGAGTTGTCTATTTTATTTGTTTATTTAGACTTGGTGATCATTTTATTTTTTTATTTTTCCCCCAAATATGTAAATGTATTAAAAGAAAAATAAAAGAATATACAAATTGATGAAAAAGGAATCTGAAAGAAAACATTATACAAGCAGAATGAAAATACCCACACATATTTTACATTGTTCAACAACTTAAGAAAATAAATTCATGAAAAATATAACAACACAATAAGAAGAAAAGTATAAATATACAAAATGGAGATGATGTTCTAACTAACTGAATTCAAAACCAAAGAAAGTTATTGTACTTAAATAGAAATTATAAAAAACAAAATCTTTACACAGACATAGATTGAAATTCATATACTAACGTGAAGGTGCACTTTGAGATAATGAGGGTGGAAGTCTTGGATTAAACACAACTAATAATGAGGGTGGAAGTCGTGGATTAAACACAACTAATTTGAACACAACAGTGTGCAATACAACAAATATTGAATTTATTTCATTTGGTTAAATGAAATTCTGTATCATCTGTATTTTTTCTTTTTAATACTATGCTGTATTCTATTTTTATTTTTTAAAATTTTTTCTATAATTTTATTGAGAGACAAATAGCAATGAGACAGTTTCAAACCAAATCGGTAGGACAGTTTCAATAATTAACACATTGCATATTCTTCCTAGTGATTAATTGCTGTACAAGATGCGGACTTGAGATCCTATTTACAAACACCATTAGAACAAATCACTCATTAAGAGAATGTAACTATATATCTATCCTAACCACTTTGAATACACAGATACAAAATGGACATTCATCTGTATCCCTTTTTTTTTGTTAAGTTCCGTTATTTGAATATTATAGATGTGTTAACTCAGCAAAATATTCTAAAAGAGTCCAGTAGCCCATAATAGTATTGGGTCTTCTGCTTGACTGGCAATGTCAGAAATGGTTGACCTGAGTCCCCCACAGCTCAACCTAACAGCATGGCTTTACTTCTTATACTTCGTTTTTATACTTTTCTGCTGGATGGTTCAGACCAAGATAAAGCAGGACCTATGCAACAAGAGTTGCAGCTTTTGGGTCTGATAAGGAGAGTTGTCTATTTTAAAAAATGTTTTCCACAGATGATTTCAGGTTTCAGTTATTCCCAGTGAAAACATCAGAGACACCTTGGGTAAGTCACCAGGTCACTCTGCTGTTGAGGCCGGGTGACTAGAGCTCTACCCCTCTCCCTGCTGGGTGTCAACTCGTGCCAGATACTCCCTGAGGACTTACAGGGTAGTGACATGGCTTTCAAAACTGTCTAGTTGTTCTCAACTGTTTCTTCTTTGTTTTGCCTTCCATGCCCTCCCGAGGATCCCACATTCTTTATACATCCTGGGGATGATGAAATGGTCCTTCAATAACTGGTCACCCTTAATTTACTAAACTCTAACCTAAAAGACTGCAGTCCTCTGAAATGTCTACTATTTCAAACTTCCTGAACCTGAAAGTCTTTAAAATGACATCAGTAACAGCATGGCCTGTCATGGCCTGTCACGGTCTGTCACGGTCTTTCGCAAGCTGCAGAGTGAGCCGGACAACATGCACCTCTTCATTTCCCATGAGCTTCCCTAGCTCGCCTGCTGGCCTTCCTGAGAGCGGAAAACTGTGCCTCCTGTGGCTAACTCAGACGTGAGTCAATGCACAACAACAGCTCTGTTGCGGAGGAGGAAAAGTTAGTTTATTCTGTGCCAAACACAAGTGACGTAGGCAAAGGACACAGCATCAGCCTACCCCGAGAGTGCTCTGGAGAAGGCAAGGCTGCAATGACGTTGGCTGGCGGAGGGAGCTCTGCTGGTTATGACACAGGCTGCTTAGGATGAAGCAGGCCCAGTCTGCCCTGTCTCTCGTGTTCTTAATGACAAGATCTGTCAAGTCAGGGTCTTTACCTACTTGTCATGAGACCATTAGGGCAGATAAAAATCATCGAAAGTAATGGCTTGTTTTCAAAGGGCCCGAGGTGGCTTCCCAGTGCTTTATCAAGGAGCCCATCTGTCTGTTTCATCTCTTCTTTTTCGGAGGAGGAAGAAGTTGTCCATCTGGTGCTGGCTTGGAGAGTTCCGCTGCAGTAGCTTTTTAGTACTGTTCAATGGCGTACATGCTGGTGATTTTTCAGACATCTCAGGTTCCAGATTCATTTCCACCTGGAGCTGTCTCTCTCTGAGATAGGTCCGTGCGGGGGCCTGGCCGCCGAGAGGGCGCTGGCGTCTTGCCTTCACAGCAGCCTTCCCTGGCAGAGGCTGGGTGTGCCAGCCGGC